CTGTTGGTTTCCACCTGGCTCATCCTGTTCATCATGGCCAGAACAATCTTCTTCAAAAATTTTTTCACATTCACATGGTTTTGCTCTAAGAACTTAGTGACTCCTCTGTACCTGCAATAAAATCGATACTCCTTAACTTGTTACTCAAAGTTTTCTATGTTCTGATTCCCCAACTTTTCATTCTATATCACCTCAATATTTCTAAGCAACCCCATAGCTCTGAATTAATTAATTAATATCTGCCTTTTGCCCAAAGGCCTTAAAACCCCTGTTGCAACCTCACCTGCATGAACCTGCTGTTATTTGCAAGTATAAGAGCTATGGACCTACCTAGATTCAGAATCTAGCTTTGCATTTGTTAGCTGGGAAAACATGAGCAAGTCCCCCAATTTCCCTCCATCCTCCTATTCTTATCTGTATACTAAAGAGTTGTTCTGAAGTTTAAACAAGGACATAAATGCTTACATCTATTGGTGACAAAACAAATATATTCAACAAATAATAGCTAAATTAGTCCTTTTTATTTCACCAACGTGCTTGGTGCTTTTCTGATTCTGTGCCTTTGGTTATGCTACCCCCTTTTGTATTTACTTTATTCTGTGTCTCCACTGATCAAAATTCTCCCATTTCTTCAAAGTACACTCAATCCCACTGTCTTAGTGAAAACTTTCCCCCAACTTCCCTTTGAAGAGATCATTTTTTTTTTTTTTTTGTCTAATTTTGGCACTTGGAACAGGTATCATGCCAATCAACCATCAATTATATGCTGTCTTGTGTCATCTTCTACTTGTTCCAGGCCTTTTTCCCCACTCAGCCAACCACCTCAGGGCTGCCCATGAGAACATCAAGCACCTGGGATGAAGGCAGGTGTGGAAATGTTAAATGGAGGAAAACAATGGAGTTGAGGGGAAGAAAAGTAAGTGTATTAAACAGGAAAAGACAGGGAGGGTATCGGATAACCCCCTTTTCCCTCTTTTCCACCTTTCTTGTACAAAATAAGTAATGTATTTAACAGATATTTTCACTAAGCACAATCAAAGGATGTGATCAAAAGAAAACTTTATTTTGTTTTCCACTGCCTATTCAAACTTTTTCAGTGGAGATAAACTTTTCCTGCCTCCAGATATAGGGTTTTGACAATATAAAAAACTATACATTTATTAAGATATAATTTACATACTGTAGTACCCACAGATCTTGTATTCAGTGTGATGAGTTCATTAATACTATATACCTACAAAATCACCACCCCCATACAATATATAAAATATTTCCATCACCCCAGAAAGTACCCTAATTCCTCTTTCCAGTTATTTTCCCACCAACTCTAACCCCATCCCCACTGCAAGATAAAACTGTTGTTCTAATTTCTCTTGTAATAGATTAGTTTTGCCCGTTCACAAATTCATATAAATGAATTTATGCAGTACATACTATTTCTATTTTTTTATTTTTGAAAATTTA